CGGCAGAAAAAAAGGCCTCAATCTTATTCAGGATTCGAACAGGAGTCTCCCGCACGAGCACCCTGCATTCTTAACAATTGATAAACCGTTCCTGGCTGTTTTATAAATATAACAAAAATTTGTGCTTAAAAAAAATCACAACCAGCGTAAAAATAATATGTGTTCTTTTTTTAGGCATATTGGTAACTTATTTCATAAAAAGAAAATAGTCAAGCACAAGTTTAAAAAAAAAAAAAGTGTGTTGGTAACTTAATTTCGTAAAATAAACATAGTCGAACGGGCGTTTGTTTTTTAAGTGTGTTGGTAACTCAGGTTCATAAAATAAACATAGTTAAACACACATTCGTTTTTTAAGTGTGTTGGTAACTCAGGGTCATAAAATAAACATAGTTAAACACACGTTTGTTTTTTAAGTGTGTTGGTAACTTAGGGTCATAAAATAAACATAGTTAAACACACGTTTGTTTTTTAAGTGTGTTGGTAACTCAGGGTCATAAAATAAACATAGTCTGACACATTTTTTTTTTTTTGAAAGTGTGTTTGTAACCTAATTTAATAAAATAAAGAAAGAAAGGCATACCAAGTATTACACTGTTAAAAAAAAAAAAAATTTAAAATAACTGGCAATAAGTAAAATGTATTGTACGCATATTTTAACAACCAAGTAGGCCAAATGTTCATAATAGAACTTTATAAATAAATTGCAGTAATGCTGACAATAAAATAACTTCACCGCTAAATTAAAGTTATGCTCATATTATAACTTTATAAGTAAACACTGAATTTTTTCTGACGGTATCTCAATTTCACAACTAAACTAAGTACTGCTAACATTATCATAACTTGACAACTACACTGAATTAACTTTGACAATACCATAAATTGACAACTGAATTAAATTGATTCATATAATATCATAATTTCAAAATTAAACAGAATTAATGCTAATACAGAAATAATGACCCTGTTGAAACTATATATAAAACTCTGTATAATTTATGCGAAGTCGTAGGTTCGTTTCCTGAAGAGAGCCAGATTTTTTTTTTTCAAAAATAACCTCGGCTCCAGGTCCACCCAGCCTTGAGTGGGTACCAGGAACAGTCCTAGGAAAGTAAAGGCGGCCGGCGTGATGCTGACCGCATCACCCACCAAGTGCCGTTTGGTCTATAAACTATAGGTCTAGCCCTATATACCCAATACACATGAAAGGCGTGGAAAAACGTCCTTTACTTTAAAAAAAAATAATTTATGTGAACAATGATCAGCAAACAGAACAGGCAGCAATGCTGTAGAGACTGAGCAACAGTTTACGAAAAAATCAAACAAATTAACAATGCGTATACAGAAACACAGCTTTAAAACCATTACTAGAATGTTAAACACTTGTAAAATTGAATAAACTCAACGAAAAATAAAATATTGTAAATACAAATAAAATGTGAGTAATTATAACAAAATGTATATAAAGTAAGGCAGCTGTAAAACCATTACTCAGCTATAAAAATGCTTGTATAGTTAAAGAGACAGACTCACAGAAGTGAACAATTTAAATCAAGAAAGGAACATAAGAATCATCAATGTTTGGCAGACTTGGTTATATTAAGTAAGTAAGGTACATTGCAAATGCGGCGTCCATGGCTAAGGCGTTGCGAGTCCGACTCGTGAGCCAGCATACCGCGATCGAAACCCACTGCAGGTTGTGTGGATTTTTGTCGTGGTGTGGGACGTCGCAGGTCGACCCAGCCTAAAATGGGTACCAGGATGGGCTGTCCTGGGAAAGTAAAGACAGTCGGCGTAATGCTGACCACATTACCCACAGAGTGCTGATGGTCTGTAAAAATATGGGACGCTCTGCCCATATGCCCGATACGCCGAAAGGCGTGAAAAGGGATCTTTACTGTACTTTACTTACATTGCAAATGTGAAATGAGATGCCCGAGAAAAAGCGACAACTTAACCATCCGAGACAAAGCTAGAAATGATATTATCAAACATCAGACAGACTGGGGACATAACCGGGCTGCAAATTCACTGAGAAACAAGATAACACGGTCTGGTCATCTAGAGTAAGATTGCAGCCAGAACTGCAAACGCAGGCGCTGCACATGAAAAGTTCTGACCTGAAATCAAGAGGTCGCCTTAGGAGATCATGGACTGATAACATTAAAGAGATTCTACATCGACACGGAATGGCATTAGTCACTAAGGCATATGAAGCAATGGATCGCAAATTGCTCCTCTCCACGTAGCTTACTGACAAATGTGGAAATTCATGACGAAGATGACACTGCAAACAAAATCGACATCCGACCCTAAAGATGACTAAAGTCGGTTCTTTTCTGTTACGCGACCACATCACGCGATATTTAGCGAAATCCTGTAGCTGAAGTTGGGGGGGGGGGGGGGAGGTGGGGAGGGTTTTTGTTAGAAGTAGTCGCTATTCATTTAACACTAACCATAGCCATAACCCCCCCCCCCCCCCCCCCCCCCCCCATACTAAGGCATTTCCCTAAATCTCGCGTGATGTGGTCACCCAACGTTTTGTTTACTTGGCAAGTTTGGTTAACATCATTATTGTAGCAGCAAATCAACAACAACAATGTGCCAGACTTCAACTTTATCCAAAATTCTTCTTCTTAAAGTATATGCCGAAAGGCGTTGGTAGCCATCTTATCCACAGCCTTCTGTTTCGTGCACTTATTATCAATTCAGACACAGACGATATTCCATGCCACGATGTCAAACTGTCCAGCAATTTCTTCCCTTGGTCTCCCTCTGCCTCTTTTCCTTTCTAGCGTTCCTACAGTCAAGAGGTACTCCAGTTTTCTCTTTGTTACGACAATCACCAAAAAGAGTAGACTGTCTATTTCTGATGTGGGCAAAGAGTTTTGTTCATGAGTCATTTCTTCCCAGTGTGTGCGTCCAGATTATTATCATTAGTCTATAAAAATACATCTCTGCCGCTTTCACCTAATTTTTTGCTAATCGTCCAACTGTCCGTGATTCACTCGCATATATCAGAACAGGATTATATAGTTTTATATAAGGTTCGAAAGTTCACTTGTGTAAATTTAAAATGGATGATATGAGATGACTGAAAATAGCCATCAAATAAACTATTCCAGAACAAGTAAGAAACGACACTGTCAGAGAGGTAGTAGGAACAACACTTGCACTACATTTATTGAGACAACCACTGCACTAAATTTACTGAGACAGCCCCTGCACTAAATTAATTGAGACAACCTTTGCACTGAATTTATCGAGACAACCATTGCACTAAATTAATTGAGACGACCCTTGCACTAAATTATTCGAGACAACGCTTGCACTAAATTAATTGAGACAACCCTTGCAATAAATTTACCGAGACAACCCTTGCACTAAATTTACGGAGACAACCCTTGCACTAAATTTATTGAGACAACCCTTGCACTAAATTTACTGAGACAACCCCCTGCACTAAATAAATTGAGATAACCCCCTGCACTAAATTAATTGAGACAACCCTTGCAATAAATTTACTGAGAAAACCCTTGCACTAAATTTACGGAGACAACCCTTGCACTAAATTAATTGAGACAACCATTGCACTAAATTTACGGAGACAACCATTGCCCAAAATTAAATGAGACAACCCCTGCACCAAATTAACTGAGACAACCATTGCACCTAATTAATGGAAATAACCATTGCACCTAATTAATGGAGATAACCCTTGCACTAAATTAACAGAGACAACCATTGCACCTAATTAATGGAGATAACACCTGCACCAAATTAACTGAGACAACCATTGCACCTAATTAATGGAGATAACCATTGCACCAAATTAATAGAGACAACCCTTGCACCAAATTAATTAAGACAACCCTTGCACTAAATGAATTGAGACAACCATTACACTAGATTAATTAGGAACAAGAAGATTAATATGCAGAGTCATTTTGTATAATGTAGTCACTACTTAAACTACTGCATGCAATGACCATCTCTTGAGGTCACTAGACTTTAAATTCAGGGCTACGTGGCTAGTGCTGTCGCCACGTACTGTGCAGGTTAGGGTGTTTAATTTGGCCCCCTGACAGAAAAACATCCATCACCTTACTGGGGATCGAACTTGGGTCTTCCGAATCACCTGAATGCAACCACAACTAAAAACAGGCGATACACCTAAAGGATATGAGAATGCTGCCAATCAGAGACGACTCAAACATTGAAGACACTGCTAACCCACACAAAATAATAACGGACAGTGCCAGTCATCCTATCGTGCATTCTTCTTGCTGGGACAATACTTGAGTCCCCATGTTTTATTTGTTACCAGTTGCTCACACATACTCTTTAAAATACCCCCTTTACTCATTCTGTGTGTTTCGACTACTTATACTCTTGAATCAAAAATAAAGATGCATTCACTGTAACATAATCAAACATGACACTGATAGTATTTCCATGTAAATCCTTTTTAAATATTAAAATACACAGGTCACTGCTCATCTCTGTGTGGGTTTTAGGGTCGCACTGGGGGGAAAAGGATGGGGGGTGTGTGTGTGTGTGTGTGTGTGGGGGGGGGGGGGGGGTTGTAAAAAATAAAAACAAAAAGGCGGGGGGTAGGGCGTTACAACAGATGCATTAACTTTTGAAAAGCATGTTAAAAAAAGTGGATTATTAGGAGTTTACCAAAATAGGACCAAAATAGCCTCAATACAGGGCACCAACCAGAGGGCAAAAACTCTCAATAAACATGAATAATTTTTTAGAAGATGGAAGATCCTCTGTGTCGGAGTATATTGAAAATACACGAGACAGTGGGTAGACATGAATACCGACACCACACATCATGGACTAAGAAAAAGAACGCATAAGAAAAATGATGAAAGTTAATACAAGATGACACTTTAAAGATAAAAGATTATGCCAATAAAACGTATAGATGGTTGCCATAATTCATCCAAGATCAAATGCTGCTTTGATCATTGGATGGTCTGACTTCAGTA